GCTTACCCTATACGGGAACATATTTCAGGTGCGGGGTTCGTACCGGTGGAGGACTCACATTTGGAGCCTCAAAGATGAAGAAAAGCCGGTTTGTGGTTTTTGGAAACAAGTTTTGTAAAAACTTTGGCTAATTGCCATTTTGACATGTAAATTATGTAAAGGCATGTAATAGAACTTGTATGAAGCATGTATATTGTAGAAAATACCTTTATACATGTTTGGGATGAATTTGGAAGGGTTTTGATTAAATTGGAAATGAAAAACTAATAAAAAAAATGAAATTCTGGACAAAACCTACTGATAGCAAGCATTAACTACCGGTAGTCGATAGGTAGTACCTGTTCCGCAGGCATTAACTACCGGTAGTCAACAGGCAGTACCTATACAACAGACAATAAGTACCAGTAGCTAAGAGGTAGTACCTGTACAACAGGCAACAACTATTGGTAGCTAACAGGTAGTACCTGTTCAGTAGGAAAAAGCTACCGGTGGCTTACAGGTAGAACTTCTATCGATAGTTAAACAAACAACTATCTGTAGCTCTTCCAAAAACCTAAAAAAAAAAAAATCCAAAATTGTTTTGCTAAGCTTTTGAACTTCATTTTCTTTAGTTCCAGTGATATAATTGGACGTTAAATGAGGTATATTTTGAAAGCCATTTGATCCCCACTATAAATACGGGCCTTCAAGACCATTCTCGGTCTTCTCACATACATGAACTTATGAGCTAAGAGCCAAGATAGAGTTGAGCATTCATTGTAATGTGATTTGATTGTGTGTAAGTTGTGTAGTCCACTCTTCTTGTATTGTTCTTGAGATTGAGAGAATATTCTTGTAAAGTAAGAGAGAGTGTGATAGTTTATTCTTCTTGAGTGAAGCTTTTAAGAGTGGAACATTTGTCTAGTACTCGAGGAAGAGAAAGGTGTAAAGGTGTTGGAATCTCACCTATTGAAGAGGACATAGGCCAAGGGTTGTGGCCGAACCCTTATAACTCTTTGTGTTTGCTTTCTCTGTACTCTACTCTTTTTTTTATACATTGATCTTATCATATCATACATACACTTCATTTACATTCATCATTTTCATTACTATCATCTAGATCAACCAATTTCACAAATAGTGAAATTGGATTTTAATTTGGGCGTTAGCTTTGAAAACCTAATTCACCCTTTCTTAGGTTGCACTTTGGGTCAACAGAGTTTTGTGAAAAACCCTAATCCCGTATCATTTTTTCCTCCTCTTGTTCAAGGGTGGCTACTCTGCATTATCACCATCTTGACCACAATATAACTAGTTTTTTTTTTTGGAGAACTAGCTACAATGATTTGGTTACACTCTAGATCCTTTGCTTCCAAGACCATCATCTAGAAATACATTTTTGGTTACTAGGGTTGATTCTAAAATTAGGCACAGTGATGGGAGTTGTCTAGTTTCACTAGTCTGGTCTCAATGGCCACACAAAGCAAACTAGGTAGGGTGGAGATAGGACATCGTCTTTGGATGGGTACTTGAATAAGCTTTACCTTTTTTTTTTTTTTGGCATTTGATAGAAGTAAGATGCTACATTAAAATTTATTTACATCATAGTTGATAATTAGAAATTCATTGAACAGAAAGGACTAAAAACTAGCATATAGTGTATACAAATAAGAGAGAAAGAGAGAGAGAAAGAGAGGGAGAGTATATGTCTACGTGTGTGTAAAATCACAACCCTTTACCAAAACAACCGACGAATTTTCATACTTTGAAAGTATTGTGTGATCAAATAAGTGATAACAGGTGAGACAAATGTTAGAGTTGCTAGTAAATAATTGATATTCATCATTTTTTGTAGTCTTATCAATTTTTTGAGTAAGATCACAAGTTCCTACTAGATTTTGAATCTAGAGTGCTCCTTAATAACATACTAGTCAAGCTGATAAAAAAGTTCAAGGGCCATCTAGTATCATAGTGTTGTCGCTGACTATTTAAACCTCACATGAAGCAAGATGCATCTTAACAAATGGCAACATAGTCACTGAAGGGTTGCATAGTCGCTCGAGGTCCAGAAGTCACCAATCACATCTTTTCTCCAGTCATGACACAATTTTTTGTATAATTTCAAATTATTATAGTTTTTATACAAAATACTATAACTTTTTTGCAATGTACAACATGACCCCCAAATGTCCAAAACTTATTCCAATGTGCACGTATGACGACTTAGTAACAAATTGTTTTTTCCAAAACATGCCCCATTTGTTTCACTCGCAACACAATTAGTTCTCCAGGTGAAAATACATTATACCTTTTATCACCTGTAATTCGAACTGCAATCGTGTTTTTGGAATTAACTCACCCTCGCAGGATTGTGACCCTTTGCCCTGGTCATTGTAGCATGTGTGACACCCAAGGCATAAGGGACATGATGACATGACGTTATACTCGCCTTTCTTTTGCTTATTACCAACTGTCTGTTCAGGGTTCTAAACTCAACGATGGCAATTAAAGACAAAGGGCACGCTCGTTAAATGAGGGAAGACTTACGGTGGATACCTAGGTATCCAGAGATGAGGAAGGATGTAGTAAGCGATGAAATACGTTGGGGAGTTAAAAATAAACATTGATCCAGAGATTCCTGAATAGGTTAACCTTTCAAACTTGTGTTGAATCCAAGATATTGGCAAAACTACAATTCTTTTTAACCAAGGAAAAAAAATTCATCGTAAAGACAAGATAGATATTGTACTCGAAAAATCCCATGCTCGAAAAAAATTAAAAGTACTTTATTTTTTAGCATGGATTTTATCGGTAAAAATAATCAAATGAATTCAAGTATAATTTTTTAGAACGTATCAATGAGTTAAACCCATGCTACGAGTTGTTCCATTCTCTAAATAAACTCTAACACTCAAGAAATTTGTTGGGTAGAGGAGATGTAACCGAAAGTTAATAACCATTTAGGCATCAGTCTATACTAATTGATATATTAAGCAAATAATAGGGTGTTGACAATTAAATAACCTTAAGAAATATTCAAAATATATAGATAATAGGTAGTGAAAAAATTCAGGGTGAGCATGTGCTCTCGTAATTGGCTGAATTCACAAGTGAAACTAGGAATATTTGTTGTTCAACATAATCAGAAACACTGATATTTCCACAGGTCGACGACATTAAACTATTGATGTAGAACTTGTTTAAAAAAAAAATATTGATGTAGAAAACTATGGTAACCTCCGAAGATTCTTTCTTTCCTTTTGCAAAACGTGCACTGTTTCTTGTCACCAGTCCAACTTTCTAAATCGAAAAAAGGATCCACTTTGAAGGTTATATGATCATTACCAACAAAAATGCTTAACTATTACAAATTAAAAAAAAATACACAATTCTTTTACCTTTAATATTCTGAAATTACTTAGAAGGGGTTGTCAAGAAATTTATATGATGGAAAAGGACTTTGATGTGGAAAGCTCAACGAGACGGAACTTAGCAAAATTTACTATTTTATCTGTTCTTAAATGTATGTCGTTTTATATAATTTTTTTTGTTTCATAATATCTATCGTTTAATGAAATCAAAGCATAATTAATATTTTTTCTTCCAAATTTACCCTTAATTTTTCAATACATTAGATTTAGTGAAGGCTAAATGCCTTTCATATTTTTTTCCTTCATAATACGTATTAAATAAGATTATTTTAGTCTTGTGCAATTATTTTTTACTCGTATTAGAGTTATTTAATAGCTTCCTTAATCTCTATGCAAAAATCTTAAACGACAGATATTTATAAATGAAGAGAGTGCTTGTTAAGACTTAAATAATATTCCATATACTTTTTTAAAGAATCCAAGGTTAAATATTTTGAGTCTTTCATGTCTTTGCCAATGTGTAATGACATATTGAATCCTTGAAATCAGTTAATCGCTATGGGTTTAATTACGCATTACAACAGAAGATATAATAAACAATGTTTTTTAATCATTCATAGGTGTGCAAAACTTCATAAAATATTTTTTGATCTCTCGAACATAGTACATCTTTAATTGGTATATTATTTTCTTTTGGGGGGTCAGAAGTATAATTCCGGGGGAGCTGGAGAGTGGACATCCATCCAAAAAGGTGTCAAGTTTGACATTACGGCAGACTTTCTTGTTACGAGGGTAAATGACATAAATAACAACCAGAAAGCAAATTGTCTAGCATTACTCGTTATTCGCAGGAAAGTCACCCCAGTATTCAAGACTTAACTCTCCGGCGGCTCAGCCTTAATGACTCTAAACTGTGCACCTGGCGATGAGTTATGATTCGTACTAGTCGCTACGCGAGAGAGAGAGAGAGAGAGACTTCTCTCTATCTCCGTGTAATCAGACCAGAAGGCTTTAAATCCGTCGGTTACAACAACTACGTTACATATACTGTACATACTATTATTACGGGTTGGCTAACTTGGCTCTCATTTTTGGTTCTCTTACCAATCTGCTTCTGAAACAACGCCAACCCTTTTTAATTACACACCTTCGTCACCCACCCTTAATTTCATCTCATTGCCCTGGCCACCAAATCCTCTCTCACTCTCTCTCTACAAATATATACACCCATAAATATATGCAGCATATATTTGTATACGTGCAGACACCCCGTCGGGATTCATGCAGATTTCTATGATTTTGCGGCCGTTACATTGGTAGAATCCAAAAAAAATGAAGTGGGTGTTGGCTTAAACAATGCTACATAATCATCACTTGCCCAAAATCAACCCAGCGAGCCTCATAACATCCCGATACAAATCTAATTCTTCTAAAAACAAGCCCAAATTATCTTTACTGTTTTATACATTATCATGATCTTTGCTGATCTTTTGCTTCCCTTTACCGGTGGGTTCCTCCAATAAGAGTAATAAACGCTAGTTATACCATGGGAGTAGCTGATTTACGAAAGCTTCTGCAATACAAATGCTACTATTATTTCCATTACCACCGGTGTGACTGTTGTCGGTGGTGCTTGTGAGGCTTACGACGATGGATTACGGTGGCGGAGGAGGCAGGTCCGGCGACGACCATCACGATGCCTCCGACTCCCACCGGAGGAAGAAACGTTACCATCGTCACACTGCTAATCAGATTCAAAGGCTTGAAGCGTAAGATTACAATTTACATCCCCCATTCCCCCATCTTATTTACACACTTTTTTCACTACAGTTAAGGTTTGAATTCACATATTGTGAGATTGAACAGAGGTTTACTCCTAGAAATCAAGAAAATTCATCATATTTTTAGGTGGTTTTGATGATAATGGGTTTGTGCTGTTGTTGTTGTTGTTGTTCATGTATATGGTAATGAAGAGTGTTCTCAGAGTGTCCTCATCCAGATGAGAAGACGAGATTGCAGTTGAGCAGAGAGTTAGATTTGGCTCCTCGTCAGATTAAGTTTTGGTTTCAGAACAGGAGGACCCAAATGAAGGTATTTAGTCCCCATTTCTTCTGATTTATCAACAGTTGGGATTCTGTTGTTTGATTGTCTTTGTTCGTGGTCTAATGTTTCTGTGATGGTAATGGTACAGGCCCAACACGAACGAGCCGATAACTGTGCACTTAGGATGGAAAATGATAAGATACGGTGTGAAAACATAGCAATCAGAGAGGCGCTGAAGAATGTGATATGTCCGTCTTGTGGAGGCCCTCCCGTTGGAGAAGATCCTTATTTCGACGAGCAGAAAATACGGATGGAGAATGCACAGTTGAAAGAAGAGGTAGTTTCTTAGTTATTGTAAAGGGTAGCTTATTAGGGCATCTCCAACCCTTGGCTATTTAAATTATGAGTGAAAACTATAAAAACAAACTTAAACCCTTTACCAAAATAATTTGGGAAATTCGAATCTCTCACCAAATCAAGGAAGCATTTGATGCTGATTCAAATCTCCAATTGCCACTCAGTGAATCATTCTCGTTCTGTAATTACAAAATGCTTACCATTCTGCAAATCCGTTGAAATTCAAGTTTTTGAACCTCCACGATTATGCACATCTTATTTTACCATTTGTTGAAGTTTCACTCTAAAACCCACCACATTCCCACACCCCACAAACCCATCTCCTTAGCAGGATAGAGGTTTTGGAGGGAATGAAGTAGGGAAAGAAAAGGAAAAAATTGAAGACAAAAATGGAAGTTAAAAGACTTTTTGGATGACTTGGGACTCTAAGAAAAAACAGTATAAGATTTGAGTTTGCAATTGAAGTGCTACGTATCAAATCAGAAATTTACTAAAAACAATAAAGAATTCCGATGATGGTTGAGATGGCTTAGATTTGCTACTGTTGCTGATTGCAGTTCAGTTTTTCCTTATTTTATTCATTCATGCCAATTCACTGATTGCAGCTTGATAGAGTTTCTAGTATTGCTGCCAAGTATATAGGCAGGCCCATTTCACAAATCTCACCAGTACAGTCTATTCCTATATCCACATTGGATTTATCGGTGGCAAGTTTCAGGGGTCATAGGATGACTGGTCCTTCTCTGGATCTTGATCTTCTTCCTGGAAGTTCATCGACTATTCCCAACTTTTCTTTCCCAACATTGAGCATTAGCGAAATGGATAAATCCCTCATGGCAGATATTGCTGGCAATGCTATGGATGAATTGATAAGACTTTTGCAGACTAATGAACCCCTGTGGATGAAATCAGCAACTGATGGGAGGGATGTTCTTAACATCGAAAGTTATGAGAGGATATTCCCAAGAGCCAACAATCATCTGAAAAATCCCAATCTTTGGATTGAAGCATCTCGAGATTCAGGTGTGGTAATAATGAATGGTTTGGCATTGGTCGACATGCTTATGGACTCTGTAAGTGATTTCATTTGTTCTATATAGTAGAATATGAAACCAGCCCCTTCAATTTAATTTCCAGGCTGATGACTATTTTCACCTTGCAGAACAAATGGGTGGAGCTATTTCCCACAATAGTCTCAAGGGCACGAACAATTGAAGTAATATCATCTAGAATGTTGGGTAGCCAAAGTGGTACCCTGCAACTGGTAATTAGCAGCAATGTCGCTCCTTTGAACTTAATATGCGTATATGGTTACTAATTTTTGTAAGAGGTTTCTACAAATAATTTCTGAGTTGGAAGTGTTCCTTTGGCAGATGTATGAAGAGCTCCAGGTGCTTTCACCTTTGGTAGCAACCAGACAATTCTATTTCCTTCGTTTTTCTCAGCAGATTGAGCAAGGCTTTTGGGCAATAGTTGATGTTTCGTATGACCTTCCCCATGATAACCAATTTGCTTCACAATGTCGAGCTCGCAGGATGCCTTCTGGATGTTTAATCCAAGAAATGCCCAATGGTTACTCCAAGGTTATCAAATCAATCATAACATATGCACACTCTTGTGAAATGTTTCATATAATTGTACCCAATGAGATACAACATTTGGTATCTTTGTTGTGCCAAGAACAGGTTACCTGGTTGGAACACTTGGAAATTGAAGATAAAGTCCCAATCCATAGGCTTTACAGAGATCTTATTCACAGTGGATCGGCCTTTGGAGCTGAACGATGGCTTGCTACTCTTCAAAGGATGTGTGAAAGATTGGCTGTGATGGTGACTGGCAACTCAACTCGTGATCTTGGAGGAGGTAAGTCTTAATACCTTTTCTAAAATAACTGATACATGTGTAATAACTAATTACGTTCCCCTGTTCCAGTAATTCCATCACCTGAAGGCAAGAGAAGCATGATTAAACTTGCTCAGAGGATGGTAAACAACTTCTGTGCGAGCATCAATCCGTCTAATGGCCACCAGTGGACCACGCTTTCTGGTTTAAATGACTTTGAAGTCCGAACCACTCTTCACAGGAACACCGATCCCGGCCAGCCCAGTGGTGTGATTCTTAGTGCAGCCACTACAATTTGGCTCCCAATTCCTCCACAGAATGTCTTCAATTTCTTCAGGGATGAAAGGACTCGCCCTCAGGTATATGTAGTGTAGTGAACTTTATAGGGACTTAATAATCATTCGATTATATTTTATGTGGCTACATACATATTCTAATGCTCTTTCGTTCATTTATTTTTTCTGCAGTGGGATGTTCTTTCCAATCACAACCCTGTCCAAGAAGTTGCCCACATTGCAAATGGTTCTAATCCAGGAAATTGTATATCTGTTCTCCGAGTAAGATTTTTTTTGGCCGATTATAGAGTTTCATTTTCTGAATGTTCTGATTTATTTGCCATAGACTTTACTAGCTACAAGATATATTGATGTCCTCAACGAAGATTTTACCTACCTACATTATTGATCTGCAACGTTTTTCCATCAATGCTGCGCTTTCTAACTTATTTTCCAAACTACCACTATTTGTATAAATCCGTTATTAATGTAAATGTGTGTTTCAAACAATGGTAATTTGGGAAGTAAGATAGAAAGGACTGTGTTTTCGTAAAAATTTACAGAAAACAAAGTAGAGGGAAAATTTCAAAGTGTTCGACTTTATCAATTGGAATGAATTCTTGAACAGGCTTTCAACACCAACCAAAATAATATGTTAATACTCCAAGAAAGCTGCACAGATTCATCTGGGTCACTTGTGGTGTACTGCCCAATTGACCTACCATTTATCAACATAGCCATGAGTGGTGAGGATCCCTCATACATACCACTTTTGCCATCCGGGTTCACCATCTCGCCTGATGGCAGGCTAGAGGGAGACGGAGCTTCGACAAGTTCTAACACCACCGTTGGTGGTGGTAGGTCAGCAGGTTCACTTATTACAGTAGTGTTTCAAATACTAGTGAGCAGCTTACCAACTGCTAAATTCAGCCCGGAATCAGTTACTACTGTCAATAACCTTATCGGCAACACTCTCCAGCAAATTAAAGCAGCCTTGAATTGCTCTACATCCTGATCATCTACCCAACTTTAAATACACAGTACATATCAGGAAAATTCAGAGGCTCCTTCGTGTTGGTGAAATGGTATTTAATGGAGAACTGTTGTGTTAGTTGGAAACTTTGAATGCTCCATCATCAATTGCTGATGCTGACTTATTGCTGCCTTGTGCTGCTGTTTTCCTGCGAAAGCTCATAAATTTTACAACAACTGTGGGTAATTTTTTTGGTTCATTTGTTATTTTTTGAGAGGGCCCTTTTGTTGTTTTTTTTTTTTAACCATTTTAGTGGAAGGAGTCAAGAACGCACCATACTAGTCTTTCTTGCTGTGGGTTTCTTTTTTCTATTTCTTTTGTCTCTCTTTCCCACACTTTTCTTTCTATTGCATCTCTCCGTTGCCTTCCTCAATCTCAGCACAGCAAGAACGATGTATGGTTCGGGCATTGACTTCTGTTTATGGACTTTCTTTTATTATATGTACGGAATTATCCAAGTTATGTGTATTGCATTGAAAAATGCTCCTCTCTCTCTCTCTCTCTCACACACACACACACACACACACACAAAAATCACACATACAGGCTTTTGAGTGAGAAACGAAGTTGGCCATGATTTTAAAATTAAAGTCAGGGAGTGATCGAGTAATGAAGTTGCATTCCTGTTTGTATTTGGTTGTGAATTCTAACCTCATTCCCTCCCTCTGGAAAAAACGTTATTGTCCATCGTCAACCAGTAAACATATTTAAACCTAAAAAATTGATCTAATTTATTAACATAATGATATAATTTTATTAGAACTATTGTATCAACAATAAATTTTAATATTTGATAGGACCCACAATTAATCAAAAGGTTTATACTGACTTAGATTAACAAATTAGGTCCTATGACCCAAAAAAACATACTAAACATATTGGTCCAACTATAATATAAAAATAAATAAATTTCATCAATCATCTTTTAATTAATGAGAATACAAAATGTTAAAGTTATTTTATTTTATTATTCACTTTAATTTATCATTTATATGATTAATGACTACAAATAAATCAATAATAACACATTAATTTTTGATATGATTCTGGAAAATATTTTCCTTCATGTCGTGACCTTATCTCTCAAAATATTATCCACCATAACTACGATTCATTTTTTATTAGATAATACATGGGTGTTTATACGGCTAAGGACACAGATGGGGTCCACTATTTCTTAGGACAAGTGCATCATTAATAATACTCTTTATTTTAGAGAACATTATTTTTAAAATAAAGAGTACCTTTGGTGAAAATTTAAAATAAACAGTCAGATTTTTTAAGGAACTACGGCCTTTTATTCTAGTAGAAAAATAGTTTGATAGTCAATAATATTTAATGAATAATGTACGTGTTATCTTTTCATTTATTAAAAATAAATTAAAGAGTGAACAAGACTTTTCAAACCGAAGAACCAACTTAGCTCTCTATTTTAACTAGTTTTAAATAAAGACTTGGAGCTTATTTTTTATAGCTGGTTCTCTAAAATAAAAAATTAAATGAAAATAGAGTTTATTAGAGATTATTTAATGATGGAGTAGATTTTCAGACAATTCATTGAACTTTGAGTGGGCGAATGACTTTACTCACAATGATATCCAGTTCCCCAAGGAATAAATGCCCTTGGTGTTGACATTAATAAGAAAGGAAGGTTTTTTCACATCCATAAGACACAGAGGTTGACCAATGTTGCACGGAGAGTTTGTGAATCTCTCCTCACAATGAAACACGTGTATTGTTAGACACTATTTATAGGGGATAAACAAGTTAATTAAAATTAAGCTTCAACAACTAAAAATTTTAACTTAGTTCTACCATAATTATCTCTTCTCACAATGATATGACAATTTAACGTGAGAATCCATTTTCAAGCACCACAATTCTTTGTACCTATGAAGATTAGTGTATTAATTAAGTCAATTTCAATGTTTAACACTCAATCTCTCACGGCGATTGATGAGTACAAAATATTGCATATTTGAAGGCCTCATTACATACATTTTAACTCAACTTTTGCATTTAAGTACTTAGAGTTAGTCGAAATTATGAATAATGTTGATATTTTGATGTTGCAAGTATTTATAACATAAATCATGTATTTTAGAACCTTGCAACTATGTTGGATGTGTAGTGAAGATATTGACACATTACATAAGGATTTGAAGGTTTAGAAGTGAAGAAATCAAAGAGGTATTGGTGTTTGGTAACAAAGGCACTAGCACTAGCACCATCTGGGGGAAAGTACCTCGGTTTTCCTCCATTTTGACCATGATCCACTCCAAATCTGGAAAAGTTCAAAACATGAAAGTTGTAGATCTGGATGTCTTCCGTATTGTGTCAAAATTTTAGCCTAATCCAACGGTTGGATCACAAGTAATGACAATTCTACGAAAACTGATTTAGAACAGAAAAGTGTATCGGTATGCAGTATCGGTACGCCGAACTCCAAAAGGTTTAGTGTACCGGTATGCAATACCGGTACGCTTTGCTAAATGCCCAGAACAGCCCAGCATGCCTGCAAATCATCTCCAAATTTCTTGGGGGTCCCACCTACACTTCTCCCACGTTTTTCCATGACTTCTCTTACACATTTACATGTCTCCTACACCCTACTTGAAGACTTGGAAGGCTTGGGCATTAATGTGAATGGGAAAGAAAGGGTGAAGCCTGGGGAGGCTTGTCCTAGCCTGCACCACCCATCCATTCAGCCCCCTATTGATGGGAGGCCTTCCACACAGCTAGAGGGACCCCCCATGGACGAAAATACAAGGCTTTCTCACCATATATTCAGCATTCAACAAGTTTTAAAGGGGTGGCTACCTAAGCTTAGGAGTAGTCCAAGGAAGAAGATGATGAATAGTATAATAGAGAAATTTATGTTTTTGCATTTTCTTCAACCATTTGATTGATGTAAGTTGTAGTTCTCTCGTAATCTTTATTTCTTGTATTGTACTCTCTTTTACTTCAAGTTTAATTCCATGTTCTTGCACTTCAATATTTACAGTTGGGTTTCAATGCTCTTCTCTGTAACTTTTCCATTTTAGTATTAAATGAACTTCTTTTTGTAGTTTACTATTTCCTAGCATTAATACAAGTTATAAGTTTCATTTTCATCTCATTTTCATTTCTATTTCCTTTACTTGTCTCTTTACATTATAAATGTTGTTACTTTAAACATGAATAGCTAGAGCTCTAAGTTGGCTAATCCAAGGGAGAACTCCTCTTGGGTATTCCATTTCAACTCATTTTCTTTTCTCCTCTCGGTATACGATGGTTTGGTTTGACTGGGTTGAGAGTGGATGAGGTTGTGAGTCTTTGATATCCCGTAGGCCTAGTCACGATTTATGCTTGGATCCTCACCATCTTGTCCCTAGCTTTCCACGAATCAATCGTTCATCTATGCACCATTGGAGGAAGGATTCGAGTTGAGTTGGGATTCCCATTGGAATGACCTCTTTGGATTAGCCAACACTTGTTTTATTGCATTTTCATTCACAAACTCCAATCACCAAAACACAAACAAAAGATTTTACACTTTTTCCTTTTCACAAAATCACCTTCACACACTTGAACTTTCCTTCCCTGAGGAGATGACCTTGGAATACTTTTCCAAGTAAAACACATCATACAAAAGACTCCTTGCTCTTGGGGAGCACTTTTGTTCACACATACACATTTCATTCCACACAAACATTTTGTTCATTCCATTCCATCCACCATTCTGTTGCCACATCTCTTGCATCATTCTGAGGGAGTGTGACACTCCCTTATATACATAAGCCATAGACACATTGAGGGATGATGTTTAGAGGTTAAGGAAACTACAAGGAATTTCATCAAGCAGTGATCTCAACCCAGTGGCAACAAATCTAAGCAAGCAACTATGTGTGATATGGATATTCAATAAATCAATTTATCAAACGAATAGTACCCCGTGTGTCCTCAAATTGTAAGTGCATATGTGAAAACAATAAAAAAACACAAGAAATTTATTGACGCGGAAATCCTCCTCCAAAAACACCACGGGAAACCTCTCTAGAATTCATCAATGTCTAATCTACTATCCCAAAGTCAATTTACAAATACTTAAGTCTTATACCTTAACTAATATCATAGTTAGATGTTCTTTTCCTTTAATAAACCTCTCCGCCAAAAGTCCCACTTTGACGTTATGGATATATTCACTTGAACTCCCCACCGCACAGTTCGTTTAAACCTCGAGTGATCTTCTTTGTCAAGATCCTTAGTATGTGCACTTCTAATGGGTTTGATTCAACCAATCAAGCTCATCTTCTCCAAGATGTAAGATTTGATAGGAATCACAAAATGGTAGCCTTTAGATTTAGAGATATAGGGTTATGTCTCAAGCACTCAAGGTGTTAGATAGGCTAATTTACTCTAAAGAGGCTTACCCTAGATTGGAAAGGCATCCCTCTATTTATAGGCTCAAAATAGGGTTTATCTTGGGGTTCAAGGAACCATAAATTCGCAAACGACCACTTGAGCAGTGCGAGGGCGGTCAGAGGGTGATTGTCATTGGAATGAAATGTAGAATCAAACTAGATCTGTAGAGCAGGGACCACTCGAGCACTCGAGTCGTCTCAACACCACTCGAGCGCTTGAGCCGTCTCAAGACCGCTCGAGCATCCTGAGGGCGACCAGAGGGCAAGCCTCTCTACCACACACTTAGCCTTTTATTGAATTTTTTTATATGTCTTTAAAGACCGCTCAGACAAAGCCTAGCGAACATAGGGTGGTCCCTACTAGTTTTTTAAGCAGCCTAAAACCAAGCAAAAAATTAGTCATCTTGAACACTAAATGATGTTGCTTAAGAGGAATCTGATATTGACTCAAACTATGTTTTTCAAAATCATCTAGGAGACATACACAGATCAACACCGATTCCATTTTAACACTAATTATCCTAAGTTTAATAAATTAAACTAAGACCAATGGGCCTTTGGTCCAGTGATACTTCTTGTCTTGTAAAGGTTTTGCCTTATTAAGGTCAAGGGTTCAAGTCCTCCTTCCCCTTCCCTCTCTCAATAATAATAATAATAATAATAAATTAAACTGAGGGTTCTTAGGTCCGTAAGGTCATTAACTTTGTTATAAGCAAGAAGATGCATATGAAGAGTTCTTTTGATGTAGCTTGAATTCCAATAGATAGCTTCCTGTGGATTCGACCTCGGACTTAACCGATTAATACTACAATTAACCATTTATACTTGGGTATATGATTTAAATTAGGTCAAGCTTTTGACATTGTTGTGGGAGAATTACTGTGACTTAAAAAAGAATGGGGAAGTTGCCTAACTTGTATTTTATGTTTATATGCTATTTGTTTTATTTTTATTGTTTATGTCTATTTAGTCATTAGTAGAGTATGTAAGTTAGTCTAGCCCTTCATCTTCATCTTCATCACAAGTATCTTCGGACTCTTTTGAGTAAAATATGGCTAATAATAATCGAAGAGAA